AACAAAGGCACAAAAAAGGGAACAGAATGCAGGGTCCAATGCCAACAAAATCTAAATGTAAATTTGCTAGTTGACAGGCATCACATGTAAATGGGCTTATTTTGGCAACTCTTAGAACTAAAAATACCCAAAGATATCACTTATACAAAAGCAAAAGTAATTGAAGTGTTTTTGTCTTTTTTTTTTTTTTTGTAAAGAAAATGGTCTTTGGAAATTTATAGTAGCCATTTAGTTTGTATGAAGAATGCTGCTTTTCATATTTGTTAAAATCCATTTATTGTTTACTTAATCCCATTACTAGGGTACTGTCTTTCTTCATATTCATGAAAATTATTTTGGGTGACATAAGAAGACATGACCACTACTTCAAAAGCTTACTGCACACAATTTTTTCTAATCTTTGGATTAGGGCCCGTAGTTAGAATCCCTTCTTGTTATGTTTGCAGAGTATTTTATATGTGAATATAATTGCCATTTTCCAGTCCTTGCCTGTTTGTGACCATTTGCTTGATATAATTACTAAAATACCCTTTCACTTTATTTTATGGGACTAAATGAAAGTGAATCCTCAGCTAGTTGTCAGTCTGAGTCATGTTGTGGCTCACCAGATGGCCATAGGTAAAGGGAAATAAAAGCAGCCACCTTTATTTTAAGATAAAGAGAGAAATATATCCCAGGGCCAAGCCAACAGGAAGTAGAGCTGCCTGGCATTATGGCAGCCATCCTGCTATGGTTCTGAGTGCAGGAGCTCACAGCTTCTCCTTGCTCTCAGCAAAAGTTTTCTGCAAGGAAAGCTTTAAAAAAACAAAACAAAACAAAACAAAACAAAAGCAACTAAAGAAGGACAAAGGAGATCCTAAGAAGTCAAGAGACAAGATGTCATTATATGTAGTTCTGCAGACTTGCTGGGAGAAGCACAAGAGAAGCACATAGATGCTTCCTTCAGCTTCTCAAGAGTTTTTAAGAAGTGCTCAGAGAGGTGGAATACCATGTCTGCTCAAGAGAAGGAAAAATCTAAAGACATGGGAAAGGCAGACAAGGCTCGTTACCTGAAACAGAAATGAAAACCTGTGTCTTTCCTAAAGGGGAAACAAGAAAGAACTTGAAGGATCCCAGTGCACTCAAGAGGCCTCTTTCGTTTTTGTCTTCTTCTGTTCTGTCACCCAAAAATCAAAGGAGAACATCGTGGCCTATCCATTGGGCTGTTAAAAAAAATACTGGGAGAGATGTGGAATAACACTGCTGCAGACAGCAAGCAACCTGATGAAAAGAAGGGTATAAGCTGAAGGGAAAGTGCCACACGATATCGCTACATATCAAGCTGAAGGAAAGCCTGATGCCGCAACAAAGGAGTCTTCAAGGTTGGAGAGAGCAGGAAAACAAGGAAGAGGAGGAAGACAAAGGGGTGAGGAGGATGAAGATGATGATGATGGATAAGCTGGTTCTAGTGCAGTTTTTTCTTTGTAAAGCATTTAAGCCCCTTTGACCCAATTCACTCGTTTTAAAAAAATGGAAATCTCAGGAAAATGAAGATAAGGGAATAAAAACAAAGCATTTGTTAGAAATAAGATACTGACTAAAAGAAATGGATATTCTTGTTTTATTCAAAATACAGAATTTTCTCCTCTATTGGATAATGTTATTTATATATATATATGTTCAAATGAATTACTAGATAAACTTTTTATTGTGATTCAAAATATATGAGATCTACCCTCTTAATAAATTTTTTTTAAATAAACTATCTTTTATTTGTTTGAAAGGGGGAGAGCTAGACCTCCCATTGGCTGGCTCATTCTCTGAATGCCCACAACTGTGGGGGCAGGCTTGGAAACAGAGATAGAAGGTGGGAATACAACCCAGGTCTCTTATGTAGGTGGTAGAACCTAGTGACTTGAGATATTATTGCTGCCTCCTAGGGTCTGCATTGGCTGAAAAGGAGTCAGAAGCTGGAGCTGGGAATTTGATCCAGGCATTCTGATGTGGGACATGTGCCTCTTAATTTTGAGGCTAAATGGCTGCTACTTAGTATTTTTTAGTTGCTAATACCATATTGTTGACTATGGTATATGATATATTTTGTACACCAGATTTCTGAAACTGTTTCCTTTTGAATGACTAACACATATCCATTGAACAATAGCTTCTCATTTTACCCTCTTCCCAGTCTATGCAATCACCATTCCATTTTATATAGTTTTACTATGTTAGATTCTGTATGTAAATGGACTCATACAGTATTTATTTTGCTTAGCATGTTGTTCTCTTTTTTTAAGATTTTATTTATTTATTTGAGAGAGTCACAAACACTGAGAGGGAAGGACAGAGAGAAAGGTCTTCCTTCCGTCCGTTCACTCCCCAAATGGCTACGGCTGGAGCTAAGCCAATCTGAAGCCAGGAGCCAGGTGCCTCTTCCGGGTCTTTCATGTGCGTGCAGGGGCCCAAGGACTTGGTCCATTTCCCACTGCTTTCCCAGGCCACAGCAGAGAGCTGGATTGGAAGAGGAACAGCCGGGACTAGAACCAGTGCCCGTATGGCATGCTGGCACCGCAGGCAGAGGATTAACCTATTGCGCCATGGCGCCAGCTCCCAGCATATTGGTCTTATAGGTTCATGCATGTTGTCACAAATGACAGGATTTTCTTCAGTTTTAAACATTACATGGTATGTATATACTGTGTACTATATTTTCTTATTCATTCATCCACTGATGATCATTCAGGTTGTTTTCATATCCTGGCCATTGTGAATCATGCTGCAGTGAGGATGGATGTACAGATATGTCTTTGAGATCCTTTAGACAGATATCCAGAAGTGAGATTGCTGGATAATATGGAAGTTCTGTTTTCAATTTTTAGAAGAAACACCTTACTGTTTTCCATGAAGACTATACTATTTTATTTTCCTATGGGTAGTACCCAAGGGTTTCTGTTTCTCTACATTCTTGCTACCTCTTGTTATTTTCTGTTTAATAGTGTCCATTTTAACAGATGTTGAGGGTATATGGTTTTGATTTGCAATTCTGTAATGTTTAGTTATATTGAATAGTTTTTCATATGCCTGTTAGCCATTTGTATGTCTTTGGAGGAACTACGTGTTCTTCTTTTTCCTCTTCTTCTTCTTAAATAATTTACTTATTTGATGCTGCCCCCCATCCAATCTTATTTTTTTAATAATTACAAATAATATAAACTAATTTCAAAAATGTAAAAAAACATGAAAAGGAAAAAAGTAGTGGTCCTGCTTTTCAAAACAAACTGTTATTGATATTTATAGTTCATTTCCATTTTTCCCCTTGCATTATTTTTAAATAGTTCCCATAGTAAGCATTTTTAATAGTTTTTAATACTTTTTATCAAAAGAAACTTTACAAGGAGAAAAATAAAGTAGGATGTTTTTGTACATTCCGATTGGACTCTGTCTAATGGGAAACAAGAAAACATTTTGAATTGAATGGAAAAGTAAAAAAAGGGTATAAGTACTACTGTCTTGAATTTATGTAGTCTTATACGTGTGAACACGCTCAGAACACACATTACACCTATTCAGTAACATGCCGTATTATGCTACTATGCACTCTAGTATTTGAATTTTGAATTTTTTCTTACGAATTTACCTATATATACTTTTTTAAAGATTTATTTATTTATTTATTTGAAAGAGTTACACAGAAAGAGGGGAGGCAGAGAGAGAGAGAGAGAGAGAGAGATCTTCCATCTGATGGTTCACTCCCCAACTGGCTGCAATGGCTGGAGCTGCGCCAGTCTGAAGCCAGGAGCCAGGAGCTTTTTCCGGGTCTCCCACGTGGGTACAAAGGCCCAAGGACTTGGGCCATCTTCCACTGCTTTCCCAGGCCATAGCAGAGAGCTGGATCGGAAGTGGAGTAGCTGGGTCTTGAACTGGCGGCCATATGGGATGCCAGCACTTCAGGCCAGAGTGTTAACCTGCTGTGCCACAGTGCCAGACCCTGCCTATGTATTCTTAAATTACGTGAAGTTTGATATTTCTTAAAATAGCATTTTACTATTATTTTTAATGAACTTCTTGTTCATCAGAGAAAATTCATAGACATTTGTTCTTGTCGCGTTAGTAGTCATAGAGAGTTCCAGATGTGCTTCTATTGCCCTTACTAATTTTCTTTTCTAGCTGTTAACCTGCTTTTTTTCAGTTTTACTTTTACACATTTTTTTCTGGTGAAAATTATATGCATATTTAGCATTACTCTGAATTGGAAATTACTGTTGTTTCAGTCACATATTTTGTTAGATTTGTTTGCTATTTATTTGAGAGACAGTACAAGGTGGTTTACTCTCTGTATAGCTGGGTCTGGGCCAAGGCCAGAGCTAAGAGCTGGTGACACAATATAGGTCTTCTACATGTGTAGCAGGAACCCATTTGCTTCAACTATCACCATCACTGCTGCCTCCAAAGGGGTCTGCATTGATGGGAGGCTGGAGTCAGGAGCTAGAACTGGGAATTGAACTCTGATGGGGATGCATGTGTCTTAACCACTAGACTAAATGTCTTCTCTCATGTTTCTTAGAGGATTATTTTTAGAATGGCACCTTTCGCTTAGGTTACAATTTAGTATTTTCAAAGTTTCAAAATTTGTTTCTTTTTTTCTTAAAAATATGTTTTGAGGTCAGTGAACATAAAACAGAAGGGAACATCTCCAGAGAAGACATCATCTGATTAGTTAACTTTAACTGGCTTGGTCATTTGTGGTGATTATGAACTACCATTCAGAGGATACAGAAAATAAAGATGTGACTTATAGGTAGGGGAGTGAATAACAAAAGATTGATTCTTACAGCAGATCTTCACTAAGTACTTATTGAATAGAAATTGTTAAATTGTGGAAAACAATATGTGATTAGGCTGTTATAGAAAACAGTGAAATAATGATGACTTTTTTTTAGTCCCCCCCCAACTTTTTTTTTTATTATAAATACAGGTATCAAAACAATCCTGAACATATTTTTATACTACTAGTAGTCAGCACCAACATCGCTTTAAAATTTAACACAGTTTGTGACAATATTCATTGTACCTGCTACTTTAAACAATTTCAACTGCAGCTCTTTCACTAAGCAAGATGGATAAAGCATGCCATTTCTTTTTGTCCTTCTTGGGATTTTTACTTTTCAGAAACACACATTTCCACTGCCATCTAACACTTCTTGCCACGCTTGCGTCTTGTAAACCCGAATCCTACTTGGAGCACTCCAGGTTTATGTTTAAATGACAGTGCCTCAACAAGAGAAAGAAAAATTGTGCTGCATTTTTCCTCCCGTTACCTGAAAACATAATGGGTGTACATATATTAAATATATTACAAATGTCTGGGTCACATATACCAGCTGGAATTCTTTACTGAATGTGTGGGTATTCTGCATTGTGGTATTTAATCAAGACATTAATATGAGTAGAAGGTTGTTGATTTAAAACAAGTTTGAGATCCATTAAAATTAATTGTTGTATGTTTGTCCTTCTGGTGGCTGTGGAAGCTTCATATTTTCTTTGGACATCATTAGACGTCTTAGCTCTTGAAATACAACTTTAATGCTATATGAATTTTGCAATTTTGCTAATACTGGTATGCTCCGTGCATCCACCATTCCACTGGAATTATTTATCCCATTCATATTAATTTTTGTTACAAATCTCACTGATGGAGGAACTTCTGGGTGTTTAGGTCCACATTCTACTTTCAGGCTATATATTCTGTTCTCATAATTTGTCCTTGGTGGCCCAATAATTATGCCTCTCCACCTTGTAAGGGTCATATCTTCATCATCTTCAAGGCCCCAGCTAACCGTACCATCGCCTACTCCTTTTTGTCCTTCTTCAAGTTCTTCCAACAAGCGAAAATTACGAGGAACTTTAACTCCTTTGGAGACCGCCATCTTCTCCCGCAGCCCGACGCAGCCAATGATGATATTTTTTATTACGTTTTATCTTTGAACGGTATAGGGACATGGTTTTGTGAAAGCAAGTGATAGAAATACTTAGAAGCTCCTACATGCAAGGTGCTTTCTAGGTATTCTGTGTGCTATCTCATTCCAGTAGACAATGTTAGAAGAAAAAGGCAAAAGCAGTGTGACTTTATGAAGAATAATTTATTTGAATGATGGGAAGGAGAGGAAGAGAGATAAAAAGTGTTTGTGTATGTGTGTGGCAGAGAGTGTGTGTGTTCATCTGTTGGTTCACTCCCCAAATGGCTGCCAGGAGCAAACAACTCCATCTGGGTCTCCCGCATGGGTGAAGGGGCCCAAATACTTGGACCAACATCCACTGCTTTCCAAGGTACATTAACAGAAACTTTATAAGAAGCAGAGCAGCTGGAACTCTATCAGGCATTTAGACTCTAACTGGCACTCAATTTGGCATTGGTGTGTAATCATTGTAGGGGGCAGCTTAACCCACTGCATCACAATACATACCGCATTAGTGTGACATAAGTCACATAATGTGAACGATGTCTGTACTGCTACCTCAAATCCTTTTTTCCTGATAATACAAAAATCTCTCCTACCCTATTTCCTAGAGGTTTGCTTTCTCCTCATCAAAAGTAGGAAAAAATTTGATTTGACATAAACCTGATTGCCTCTTCAGCCCAAGGACATTTAAAGAACGGTAGGCTCAGGATTGTGTCACTGTTAGATTCCTTGGTTAGGCTTTGAGGAACAACATCTTCTATATCATTTATGGTAAATAAAAGGTCACCAATAGGAGAACCTTAAGCACAGAGGCTATTTGCTCTTGAAGGCCATGGATAGCCCAGTCATGCAGGAACTAATATTTTTTTTTAAATATTTATTTATTTGCAAGCCAGAGTTACACAAAGAAAAGAGATGCAGAGAGAGAGAGAGAGGAAGAGGGGTCTTCCATCCGATGATTCACTCCCCAATTGGCCGCAACGGCTGGAGCTGTGCTGATCTGAAGCCAGCAGTCAGGCGCTTCTTCCGAGTCTCCCATGTTGGCGCAGGGGCCCAAGAACTTGGGCCATCTTCTACTGCTATCCCAGGCCATAGCTGAGAGCTGGATTGGAAGTGGAGCAGCTGGGCCTCAAACCAGTGCCCCATACGGGATGCTGGCAATTTAAGCCAGGGCATTAACCCGGTTTGCCACACCGCTGGCTCCAGGAACTAATATTTGAAGATGCAGTACCCCAAATGGAAGCTCCAACTTAAACTCAGCCACTTTTTTAAGCAGCAGATGGCTACCTCCCACAGTTTTCCTCAGTGGAAAGATTGCCAAATGAATTTTCTAACAATGGAATTGTAAAAATCTTCCTTACAGTTTCTTATAGCTTACAGACTTAGCATTTAGTGTTTGACAGACACTGTACCAAGAGTCTGACAAACATTCTCTCATTTAATCAAGCCCCATTCTTGGGGTTTGCATACTCTTGTCAACTCCCATTTTATAGTGAGAACCTAGAAGGGTCAGCACATAGTTAATGTGAAACCTAAGCATTTCGGTTCAACTTGCCATATGTATGTATTTTTTTAAACCTTTGCTCCAGCTTTGGTAGTCACAATGTTCACTGTATTCTGCTAGCTTTGTTTCTCTAATAGAAAAAAGTCACTAATTAGGGAAATTAGGTATTCATTTTTGTGAATTCTTTAAGTTGAATTTTTTTTAAATATTTATTTTAGGCCAGCGCCGCAGCTCACTAGGCTAATCCTCCACCTGCGGCGCCAGCATCCGGGTTCTAGTCCTGGTTGGAGCACCAGATTCTGTCCCGGTTGCCTCTCTTCCAGTCCAGCTCTCTGCTGTGGCCCGGGAGTGCAGTGGAGGATGGCCCAGGTCCTTGGGCCCTGCACCCATATGGGAGACCAGGAGGAAAGACCTGGCTCCTGGCTTCGGATCGGCGCAGCACACAGGCCGCAACACGCCGGCTGTAGCGGCCACTTGTGGGGGTGAACCAATGGAAAAAGGAAGACCTTTTTTATAATAAGAACTTTTTAGCTTGCATTAAAATTTAAGAAAAAATTTAAAAAGTAACATTGCATTTACCTTCTCAACCTTTTAGAATTAGTCAGTCTCCTAAGTATAATTGGGTTGATTTACCAACCTTCCATCATATTCTTCTACTAAAGTTGTACCACGATGGGAAAATACCTCTTACTTAATATTTCACAAATGGCACAAATATTTAATTGTTTTTCGTGCATCATTTTGTTTTATGTTAAGTTAGATTGTTAACGAATGCAATTTATGGCTGTTTGACTTCTCTTGGTTCCCAAAAGTATGCATCCTAAATGTGTCATTCAGGAAACTTAATAAATGCATATCTAAGATTTAAAACTTTTCCATGTTGGCATGTAGTGGATACAGTTCAGTGTTTCCAGGTCTGAACAGTTACTCCTCCAGTTGCTGTGAGTGTTAAAGGCTAACTGACCAGAATCAAACTCTTAAGAATTGCCGTGTGCTGAAGGGAGTCACCTTCACCATGGTCACATTCACTTTGTGGAGGTCAAGTGACTAATCAGTGGAGAGGTGGCTTGAGGGGATGGGTCTGAGGATCTTAAGAACTCCTTATGTAATAAGCCGAGGCATTTTTTTTTTGCTAGTGTACTGCAATTGAATATCTCTATTCCCTTTTGTATCTCCTTTAACTCATCGTAGATACTGAGCTTGAGATTATTGCCCAGTGAATTTCTTTTTCAGAAATATCGATCTCAGTCTGCTTTCTGGGAGATCCAGCCTACAGTACTCCAGAAAGATTCCTCTTACCCTTTCCAGTGAACCCCTTCCTACCCCAAACAACCATGTGTTGCTTTTATCACCACACTTTTGCCACTGTAGAGTTTCGTATAAGTGTGATGATATAATATGTCCTCTTTTGTGTCTGACTTCTTTTGCTCAAAAGACTTGAGTTATTGGAGTGTCAGCAGTTTTTTTTTTTCCTCTGTTGCCAAATAGTAGTTTTGTGAATAAGCCCTCATCTGTTCATCCATTTAGGTGTTGATAGGCAGTTGAGGGTATTAGAAGTTTTTGACTACTGTGTGTTTTGTTGTGTTGTGTTGTGTTTTGTGCTAGACTGAGACAGACAGAGACAGAAAAGAACTACCACCCACCTGTTGACTTCCCAAAAGCCTGCAACAGCCAGTACTGGGCCAGCTCCAAACTGGGAGCCAGGAACTCAATCCAGATTTCCCATCTTGGTAGCAAGTCCCAAGTACTTGAGCCATCATTTGCTGCCACCTAGAGTGTGTATATTAGTAGAAAGCTGGAATTGGGAGTGGAACTGAGACCGTAACCTTAGTACTCCTTTGTTGTGAAGATCTCAACCAGCATCTTAACCACTAGACCAGATACTCCTCTGGTATAATTCAGTGTGTAGAGATTTCATTTCTCCTAGGTAAATACAATTATTGGAATTTCTAAGTCATTAAAGAAGTAGTTTAATTATTGGCCGGTGCCGCGGTTCACGAGGCTAATTCTCCGCCTGCGGCGCCAGCACTCCAGGTTCTAATCCCGGTTGGGGCACTGGTTCTGTCCCAGTAGCTCTTCTTCCAGGCCAGCTCTCTGCTGTGGCCCAGGAGTGCAGTGGAGGATGGCCCAGATCCTTGGGCCCTGCACCTGCATGGGAGACCAGGAGGAAAGACCTGGCTCCTGGCTTCGGATCAGTACAACGCACCAGCCCTAGCGGCCGTTTGGGGGTGAACCAACGGAAGGAAGACCTTTCTCTCTCACTAACTTTGCCTGTCAAAAAAAATAAAATAAAATAAAAAAGTAGTTTAATTTTGAAGAATTGACTGAGTTTTCCAAAGTAGTTTTACCATTTTAGACTTCCACTAGCAATGTGTGAAAATTCTGGTTGCTCTACATTTTCTCTAGTATTTCTTACTGATGATATATTTAATTCCATCATCCTACTGTTTGTTTTCTTTTGTGACATTGATTTTTTTGGTCAATATTCTCTCCTCCTGATTTCTTTTGGATTAATCAACTTTTTTTGGTGTTCAATTGTAATTGTAATTCCTCTAATGGCTTTTTTTTTTTTTTGATGCTACTTTATTCTTAAGAGTTTCTCTAGGATTTACACCCTACACTTGTCACAGTCTTGTCAGAGTTTGTGTTTTACTATGTTTATGTAAAATTAAGAATCTGGGAAAGTATTTTTCCATATATTCTTTGTCACTAAAATATTGCAACATTTTCAGAACAACTTTATAATTTCTTGTTTAAGCAATCTTTAAAGAAAGCAGAAGTGGGAACTGGGTAGTGACCTACCAGGTTACGTTGTAGGCTTGCAATGCTGATATTCCATATGGTACCAATTCAAGTCCCAGCCTTTTCACTTCTAATGCAGCTCTTTGTGTTTTGACTGGCAGAGTAGACAATGAGAGAGAGAGACAGAGACAGAGAGAAAGGTCTTCCTTCTTTTGGTTCATCCTCCAGTGGCTGCCGCTGCCAGTGTGCTGTGGCTGGCGCGCTGCAGCCGGCGCACCGTGCTGATCCAAAGCCAGGAGCCAGGTGCTTCTCTTGGTCTCCCATGCGGGTGCAGGGCCCAAGTACCTGGGCCATCCTCCACTGCACTCCCTGGCCACAGCAGAGAGCTGGCCTGGAAGAGGGGCAACCGGGACAGAATCCGGCGCCCCGACTGGGACTAGAACCTGGTGTGCTGGCGCCGCAAGGCAGAGGATTAGCCTAGTGAGCCACGGCGCCGGCTACCAAGATTCATTTTCAATTATCTTTATATACAGAAAATCAATTTAGTATATATTAAGTGAAGATTTCATCAGTTTGCACCCACAGAGAACATAAAGTGTAAAATACTGTTTGAGTACTAGTTATAGCATTAATTCACATTGGACAACACATTAAGGACAGAGATCCCACATGAGGAGTAAGTACAGTGACTCCTGTTGTTGACTTAAAAAATTGACACTCTTGTTTATGGCGTCA